TCTTGAGATACTTTACTAAGAAGAATATGTTCCAGCTCCATCTAGGTAAACATAAAAGATGTAAAGTCACCATCTTTTTTATGGCTGCATAGTATTCCATGGCGTGCCATGTATTCTTTTTTAAAAGATTTTTTTATTTATGATAATTTTTCTATTTGTCTAGTTACATTTAGGTTATCACATTAACCTTAACATATTGTTAGCCCACATAATTATGTTCTTTATTTTCTGGAAGCCATTATTTCTACTTTTGTGCAGATACCTGAGGAATTTAAAAATTTGCTTTATAATTTTATTATGTTTTCATTTAGATTACACATTATTAGAATTACCCTGCCATTGTACTTAAGAATTTTTCTTTAAAGTGTTTTTCCCCATGGGTGTGTTTTGCCATCAAATTCAAGATATCTACTTAAATATGATTAAAATATCAAATATAAGAATAAAGCACCATTTGTACTTATAATAATGAAATGAAAATCAAAATGTTTCTGAAGTTGTCTTTGGAATTTTGGGTGACTTTTACTGTTTCTCTATCTTTGTATGTTTTCTAAGTTTTTTTTAATGAAAATTTTTTTTCATGAGCCATGACTCTCTGTGTGTGTGTATGTGTGTGTGTGTGTGTATGGGTATATCTTTAAAACAGTTAAAAAATTAACACCTGGGAGCATTTTTTTTTGGTACTATTTGTAAGTAGAAACTCAAATCTCATTTTTGATTGGATAAATTAGTCATATCAATAATATAACCCTGTAATGTCCATGTCGTTTAGTGTTATTTGTCCATGTTGTTTGTTTTAATGTAAGTTATTTAGCTCTGCGTGCTCTAGTAACTGTGTTCTTTATACTGAATCTGATATGGTAGCAAAGAATATTGATACTTCAGAATGAGTTCAAATGTGGTTATTGTGATAAGCCCCAGTCTTTGCAATATAATTTAATTTCACAATTGAGTCTAAGTGTAGTTGTTGTGATAAGACCCATGCTTTGCAATGTAATTTATTCTAACATCAAAGATAAAATTTTTGTCAAATAGATTTTAGAAGGGCATCTTTTCTCTCCAGATTACTGTTCATTATTTTTCTGGATTACCCTCTGTAAACCACAGTTTTATATTCTGATATTTCCTTTTGTAAAAGATAGGCTGTAGTCTGAATTTGTTAATCAGGCTAAGATGTGAGAGAATCAAGCATGGAGCTTTTTAGATAACAAATTTGTGATTGTGTTCTGAGGATGGCCTGAGTAAATAATATATAAATAAATAAAAATTTAGAAAGTCAACAGACTGAGAGAATTCTCAGATATGATAGGTAATTAATATAAAGTAATTTAAGAAAAAAGATAAAAGCAAAAATTATGTAGAGATTCTCAAGAAGAAGTATTGTTAGAAAATAATATTCAGTTTCATCACTTAATTCATATTAGACATTCATAGAAACATGTTTCTTATAGCAGCATATAAAATATTCAAAACAATGATAATGTCCAGTGTTATCTATGGGTAATCCCTTAGATTACTAGGAAAAAGAACATGCAAAGTAGTATAACCCTTTTGAAAAATAGTTTTAATAATTTGTATTAAGAGTCATAGGCTTGGCACCTGTAGCTCAAGTGGTTAAGGCGCCAGCCACATACACCTAAGGTGGCGGGTTCAAATCCAGCCCGGGCCCACCAAAAACAACAATGACGGCTGCAACCAAAAAA